CCCTAAGACCTTTAAATATCTAAAAAGTGATTTTTAAGTGCCAGTCTACCCACCACCCCACCCCGCGCTCACCCTTCGCCCGCTCCCTCTCTCTCTCTCTCCCTCTCTCTCTCCCTTGCTCCCACCCCCTCGCTCACTCCGTCCCGCGGGCACGGCTCTCTGACAGTTTGGAAATGGAACGTAGTGATGCGAAATCCCGCAGCGACCCCATTCTTATTATTCGGCGCCCGGCCTAGAGTACGCCCCCCCCCCCCTTTCCCTCCCTCTCTCGTTCTCTTGCCTTGCCACCTTACTCTCTCTCTCTCTCTTTCTCTCTCATATCGTTTGGGTTGCCGCGGCGGCGCTTTGCTCCTTTGCGCGACATGCCGTGGCGGGCCCGGAGCCTTCCCCAGAGGATTGGCGTGGCGCCCCCCCCCCTCTCTCCCTCTCCCACGGCGCCGCGGCTGCTTCGGAAAGGAATTATTTTTCACTGGGTCGGGCTGGCAGCAGGCGTGGCCCAGCGCCCCCCGGCTCCAGCAGCGCTCCAGCGGCGCTCGCTGGAGAGCAGGGCATGACGGCCGGGGCCCCCGTCAGGGGGTAGTGTGAGGTGGGCAGAGGGTCGGCCGGTGGGGCTCCGACGTCCTCCCTATTTTCGTGGGGTTCTGGCGGAGCTGTCTGTCGCCTCTCCTCCGACGCGACCCGGTGCGCACCCACCTCGCCCCGCCCAGCCCTGCGACAAGCTCGGGCCCGACGTGACTTTTTCCACGTGCTCCTAATTAAACTTGGGGCTTGTTCAATTAGCAGTGCTCGGCTGCCGCGAGCGTTATTTGTGATTTTCGACGACGACGTTGTAATCTTCACGCAAAAAAAAAACAACAGAAACACACACGTTACGGATCGCGGCCGCGCTCTCCTCGCGAACCTTTTGTTTTGATTGGTTCTCTAGACTCCCCCGCCCCCGGGCCGTGACAGCTGCGCGACGAGCTCTCCTGAGATGACCCATTGTATGAGATACGTGTGTGCCAGCCAGCCAGGGCCCCGGGGGCGCGTAGGGGAAGGGGGGGCCGGCGCGCTCGCCGCTCGCTCGCGGGCTTGAGGAAGACAGATAGAGGGAAAGGACTCCTAGGAATCTGACCCCACCGCACCTCGCCCCACCCCACCTCGCCCCA